AATAAGCTCAAGATAAAACAAGACTTCAATAAAAGAAAAGTAGAATCTCCTAAGAGATACCATTTTCAGAGCAATATATAAACATGTCAAAAAGATAAATCTAAGAGAAGAACATCTTGTAAAACAACTATCCAATTCTCCATGTTATAAAAAATAATTCAATTGTAAAAATTACTATAAGCATGTCAAAGAACTATTAATAATCCTATAAACTCTTACTATAATATATTCAATAATTATTTCAACTTCTATCAATTTTTAGTATATAACATCTTTTTATCTCTATTATTCCAAAACTTACCATATTATACTAAATTACTATAATGATATATACAATTATTACAATTAATTATTTAATAAAAAGCCACATATTAGATCATTGGCAACTATAAATTAAAGACAAAATATAAAAAAAGCAATTGACAAAAGAATGACATTTATGATTAGTAACAAAAAAACTATAATTAATTCTATTTTTAATAGATATCATAAATAAATTATATTAAACAAACTTATAACTACAAAGTCTGTTTTATAGAATCTAACAAGATTAAAAAATTGATCAGATCACACCTTCACAATTGAACAGCAAAATAAAAAATAAAAAATATTAATAATTGATCAGAATGAGACTATAAATATATATCTTGATCATACATAAAAGAGAAATAGTTTTATAAGGCTCAACAACCTTTCTTTATAGCAAAGATTACAAAGGTCATCAAAACAAGAGACAATACATCAGTATCAAGTTTCTTATAAATTTCATACATTGCTTTAAAAAAACTAGGCTCAACTATTATATAATATACAATAGATCTGTTCAATAATATACTTGCAGCAAAAACAGTATCCAAAAAATGACACATAGGTACAATTTATCCTATTTCAAACTCAAATCTTAAAATAATGATATAAAAATAATCAGTTATTTAACTCTACTAGAGATATATAGAAAAATATTCACAAATGTATTAATGACTATTTGATAACTATTCTGACAAAATATCAAATATTATTTCTTCTCAACTGGGCTGCTCTTCTAGGAAGCAGTACTCAAGAACCTATTTATATTTTACAATATATCATTGAATATACAAAACAAAACTTTTAAGATGTATGGATTCTCAATTAGAACATGAGCAAAGTCTATAAATCAATTTTCTTGTATATGCTAGAAAGAGCTCTTAATAGAATAAATATATCAAAGACTATTTCAAAAACACTACTAAATATCTTCAACTCTTGTTATAATACTGTTTTTATACTATTTGGTCCCACAGATCTTTATCCAGTAGAGGATAGAATTGATCAAGGAGACACTATTTCCTTTCTACTTTGTATATTTTTTATGTTCTACTATTATTTAAAATTTCTAGTTCCTATCAAAGTTATACTATAACTTCTAGACAATGTAAAGACAATCTAGATAGATAATATTATATGATTTACAAACAATTAACAAGATCTATAACAAATAATTAACCTATATAAACTTTCTTTCACACAAATAACATTCAAATTAATTCTTCAGAATCTGGCCTAATAATAATAAATAGTACACAACAGGATAGACAAATGTGTATATTATTCAATAGCCAAACAATTCAAGGATTAGAACTCAACATACTAATAAGAATACTTTGAGTCTAGTAATGTACAAAAGGCAACAAAAAATATCAAATATCCTCATGAAAGACAAAGTCAACAAAACATCAAACTTAATAAAATTCAAAAAGATCCCTAGCAAACAAATAAAATATATCATAATTCATGTTCTCATTTCAGGACTGAAATACCTAATTAATGATATGGTCCTTCAGAAATCTACTTGTAATTAGATCATTTTTTTATAACTGATTCATCCTTACTTTATTTAGTGAAAAGATATGTTATTTGTATAACTTTGTATATCTTGCGTACAAATAAAGTTATCTAAAAGACTAATGCGACTTACTGATCAGCTTGTTGCTATCCATTGTGAAGCCTAACATACAAGAGAAGCTAGTTAGTGTTTAAATTGTAAAATAAAATAGAAAAAAAGTTTGTATTGCTATGGAAAAAATTATCCATGTAATTGTTTACAAGATTAACATATTGATCTTTAATTGTTAGGTTTTAAAGTCATCCCTCTAGTAATATTCTGGGTTGATCTTTGCTTTTGATATGTTTTTTGACTCGAATTATACCATTTGCTTTTTCCCAAAGATTGATTTGTTGATATCTTTCTATCCAGATTTTTTGAAAATGATTTCTGAAGATATTAACACATTTGTTTGTAGTTTGTTGCACTAATGCTTTGAATTCTGTAAAGTCTAATATTAGAATACTGAAATCTCTTCTAATTAATCTCTTGATGAAGTACTGAAAGGGAAATTCGTACTTCATTATTTCTAATTTTGATATTTGTTCAGCTAGGGGGGATGTTAAGTTTGCTGTTTTGGAATTTTTTAGCAGATTGATAAAAATGTTTTTGATTGCCTTTCTATGTGTTTGTATCTCCATATAACATAAGAATCGATGGATGTTTGTTTCAGTCTTAAAACATGTTATCCTTGAATATTTTTAAATTTCTCTGATGCAATTTACTGAGGGTGGGGAGTTTGTTGTTCCAGAGATTGATTGTGAATTTCCTGCTATTTTGGTCTTGAAAGGATGTTGTGCCTTGCTGGGATTACTAGATTGAAATGTTCCTTGCCAATCTGTAACTGAGTTTTGGATTCGATTGATCCATCCTCTATTTCTTTTAAGTAATTTCCATTGTGCTAAGTGTTTAATGTGAAAGATCTGCTTACAGGTTTTTATTGGCATGTCGATGATGTTGTCTCTCCACATTTCCACTGTGTAGATGTGATTGGTGTTTGGCAGGAGGTGTGTCAGCCTGTAAACAGGTTTCATGTTGAGGTAGTCGATTTTAGCTAGGAAATCAGCAATTTCGTTTCCTGTGATCCACTGTGTGCTCTGACCTTGTGCAGGATGAATTGAATATTACGTTGGTCGCATCTGTCTATTAGGAGTTGTATGAGATACTACATGATTATCTTCGATTACGCAAGAATACATGCTATTGGTAATAAAGAAATGCTAATACCTGATTACGTTTTCTATCAAGTTAAAAAAATCGTTCTCGCTTCTTCTCTACTTTACGTGAAAAAAATGATGATCGGAACATAACCCTATAAAAAGGTGCAATTTTTCTGATGTCTTGCAAAACCGACGTGGCATTAACAAAGGTCTTACAAAATAAACTCATCGAATTTAGTTTCACTTATCTTAAATCAAAAGGAATCCGCACGTCCCACAATTAAATCTCTAATCGGAAATTTCTTTGCATAAATGTATCCATTCAACGTTTCGGGAAATATTCTTTTTATGGCTTTAACCGCTTATTTGTTTTTCGTCGTTGCGATGATATACCCTGAAAATATCCACTTGTGTATGGGATTCATCACCATGTGGTTCTTCCTGTGGGACGTAAAGCAAAAAAAATGCCGACGAAACAAACTCTCGTGAAACCAAGATCAACACTATTATCGTTGAACCTAATCGGCAAGATCAGTGCCGAAATCTTACCGCAAAGATAAATTCCCGTGATGCTAACTATGAAACAGAGGCACATAATATTATTTTTATGATTAATAATCTAACCGGGAAATATAATGAAGTTGAGAGAGTTCTAGAAATCTACCAAAATAACTTTAATCAAATTGCCACTGAATTCGAATCAGTAAAGCATGAATCGTAGAGGATCCGACCAACAAAGTGAGGCTTCATCATCCTTCTCTGCTCATTCTTCATCTTCTACTCGTTCATCTCCGAATTTCTCAGGTAAAGATTAAGCCGAGATGCGTGAAATGTAAGAAAAATAATAATTAAATACTAATCATTATTTCCGAATGCTCTGATATATCTTAACCATTTGCTCCCGCTTTAAAGAAATCTTCGATAGGTCATGGCCGAAAGAAATTATACTTTTTGATGAAATGTGTTTTCCCGTAGCAGTGCGCATTCGTGAGCTTGGTGGGAATATTAGACAATCTACAGTAAAAAATTTTATAATAGAAGTAGTGAATGTAAAGCTAGATGGTTAGACAGTATGGGGTAGGGAAAGGAACTGCCATTTCTTTACAATGTAAAGGGGCCTAGGATCCGGCAGGCATGTTTTCATGCTTTATTCCTCCCTCTTTGTTCCTACTCCACAATAAAGTTATAATAAAACCGAAAACCTTCACGTGCATCACATTGTTGAGCCAATCATGTTTAAGATCATGCCTTCATATATTTTTGCGCTTCGCGTCATGCTAACCGACTTATAATCATGTCCTTCTTTGAAAAACCCTCAGAATGCTAGACTTTTGACGCAATTGCAATACACTATTATGACAACGACATTTGTCGTACTCTTGATAATATTAAGAAGGATCTTCAACGACGTGCAAAAGTTAAAGATCATGATGCTAAGAACTTCTGGTTTCAGGCTGGAAGGTGCGTAAATAAAAATTTATCTTATGTCAGAGCTCGTAAAGCGGAGCTACGCGTCGGCACCTACCCATATTACTCTTGGTCTTATGGTTATGACTCTTGGTCGGTGCTTACGCGTCATTCACCTACCCACATTACTCTTGGTCGTGTGGTTATGACTCTTGGTCGGTGCATGGACTGGGTTTCCCTGGTCATACAATGAAGACTCCTTGCAGTAGAGATTTCTGGAATAATATGCTAATTATCTTTATTACTTTTCGGGCAAGCAACTCGTTACAAACGTGAAGACTTGCCTCACCGTTGACCGAATTAGAGTAAGATTAAGGATTCTTGTCGCTAATCCTTCCAACCAACACTAATTTCACAATTTTGCAATTTATAAGGGTGAGGCCACCGTTTCCACCTTTTCTGATGGTGCAGAATCAATGTCAAAAGTTCGTAAAGCTATTCTTAATTATGTCGATGTCATTGCGTCAGGATCTGTTACTACTTCTAAGGATTATGAAAAGGTAGAGCTTAAAGAAATGTTTAGTTATACAAAAGAGATTTTTTATTCATGAATATATTGTTTTTTATGGCATCCCCAGAATGGAGAGGCTTCTATGAGTAATAATCCACCTGCTTATAATAACGACAATTTGGATGAAACTAGCTCTTCTGCTCCGGATTATAAAGAAAAGGATACCAACTTAGTTCGTAGATGGAATAATGATGGAAAATCTACACCAACTAAACGGGTGAAATTATAAGACTTGCAAATTTTTTCTGAGATCAAATAATTTATTAACAATATTTATGCAACCTTTCAGACGAAATTAAAAGATGACATATCAATAAATTCAGATTTTTCATTTACTTCAATGGAGGTTAGAGGGACACAAATAATTTTTTAAATAATCTTTTTCAAAAGCCAATCCTATTATTTCATTACTCGAATTGTAACATTATGCGCTTCCATTAGCTGACTTACCGATTTTTTGAATTCCGTCCTACCATCACATTGTAATAATTGAGGATAGATAAGGGGATTATTAGGGTTATCATAAATTTTCCTGAATGCTTTGGCAACCTCACTGGATTTTTTTGATGTAAGTGGAACTGAAGCTTTAAACCGGCTACCCACATCTATTATATTAATCACTGCTATCTATTTTTTACCTTTGTAATAATCATGAGTAAGAAATAAGAGGTCACACATATGTACGCAGCTCGGACGTGAAATTTTACCATAACTAACGTGCTGTATACATTTTGGGGTGGAGAATATATTTACCAGGTACTTTGATTTGTGAGCCATTTTTTAACTGCAGAGGAGAAATATCCGGTGGGTTGATAGAAAAATTTACGTAATATTATATTCCGATCGAGTTCTTCAGCTCTTGATGAATCTATTAAAATTTGTGGTTCCTCCATTTATATTTAGAAATATGTCATAATAATAAAAATGACTCGATTAAAGTATTCTTTAAAAACTGCACAAAATTTGGCTAAATCTTACGGAGGTAAGTGTATATCTAACGAATATATTCATGTTAAACATCCCTTACGCTGCAAATGCTCTAAAGGTCATGAATGGGAAAGAGAACTTTATTCTGTAAAGTCTGGTTCATGGTGTTTACAATGTTCTTGGGATGGGCGAAAAGTTGGATGACAATTTGCTAAAGAGATTGCATTCAGTAAAGGTAGAGTGTGTTTATCTGAGGTGTATATCAATAATAATTCTCCATTAATTTGGAGATGTACTTTACATCACGAATTCATAGCACCTTTACGATACGTAAAAAGTATGGGGAGATGTTCTAATCTTATGACAGCAATAAAAATCGCACATACACATGAAGGTAAATGTCTTTCAAGCTCATACGATGATAATGCATCAACCCTCATTTGGGAATGTTCTAAAGGACATAGATGGACTACTTCGCTTGCGAATGTTAAGAATCAAGGTTCGTGGTGTCGTAAATGTAATTCTATCAATCAATCTTGCGGTCTTGAGGTTGCTATAAAAATTGCATATGACAAGGGTGGTCAATGTCTTTCCGGTCAATATAACAATAAAGAAACTCGATTGCTCTGGAGCTGTGCAAACAGTCATTCATGGTATGCTACTCTAGGAAGTGTAAAAAATATCAATACTTGGTGCCCACAATGTGTAATATATGGGTTTAAACTAAATATTGAGATGCAAAAATTTGCGCGTTTGCATGGTGGTCAGTGTCTTTCTAAAGAATATATCAAATCTGATTACCCTTATTATTGAAAATGTGCTGAAGGACACATTTGGTGTGCATCTTTTAATGCCATAAGAAATCACGGGTCTTGGTGTCCATATTGCCAAAAATATAAACGTGAAAATCTATGTCGCAACATCGTAACAAACCATCTCGACCCACCATCTACTATACACCGGCCCAATTTCTTGAAAACTCATAAACATCCGACAGGATTAGAATTAGATATCCCTTATTATCGATATGGTTTTGCAATCGAAGTACAGAGACTTCAGCATGTCCAATACAATAGACTATTTCACAAAGTAAACCCAGAAAGATCAACTAAAAAAAGAATTATGTGACGAAAATGATATATATCTATTTTATATTTGGTATAATGAAGATCCAGAAAAGTCTATTCGAGATGAACTATTTACATTAGGTCTAATCAAATAAATCATTTATGAATCTTACTATTAACATTTTATAATTCAATAGCGTTTTAACAATTTTTTTTTATAATTTGCAATTAACTCCTCGTCTGGTGCGATTCTATAATAGGCTTGCTCAATTTACTCATTTTTGATATGTGTCTTAACACTAGCTCCGCTATTATTCATTATAGTAAATAGTATGTTTAGCAAAGTCAAGAGATAAGTCAATATAATATGCCGTAAAAAATATGCATGGCATTTCGGAGACCTTGATCCCCAATATAACAACTCATAGATTATTTACAGATAAAGAACTCGAGCTAGAACAAATTAACCAAGAACTCCAGGAGATATTGCAATCAGAAGTAGCCATCAACAAATCTAATGAAAAATATATAAAGGATCTGGAGCATAAATATATTAGATGTGAGAAAGAAATCCAATCTCTTAATAAAGAACTGGAATGGCTCGAGAATGCTTTAGAGGAAGAAAAGGCAGAGTTGAGATCAGAGATATTGTCTCTTAAAAAGAGCTTATACCAAGCCACAAAGGAGGTTCAGGAAATTAAATCCTATAATGTTAATCTGGAATAGCAGTTGCAAGAGTGTTGTGAGAAAATGGAAAATCTGAGATATAGATTTAAAGTTATTTCTTCCTAGAGAAGCACTTCAAGTTTATATAATTCAGAAGAGGAAGATATAGATATGGCAAATCTTGACCTTTTTATACAAATTGATAGAAATTTGAATTACTGTATGTTGAAAATTATATTTGAGGTGTCGGAATACCATTAAATAATTCTATAAATATTATAAATAGTATTATAGATTCTTTAAATGATGTCCATCTTAATTATCAAAATACATTTCAGGATATACTGTAAATAGTGTTATTGCTCAATGAGATAACAAAAATAATCAGATAGTTCAGTTACAACTGGATATCAATTTCTATAAACAATGGAATATTATTTTGCAAAATCAAGTTAATCAGCTTAACCAAAATAATTTTCAGGATCAAGTCAACCAAATTACTCAAGAATGTGATAACTTACAGAATCAAGTTAATCAAATTATCCAAGAGTGATATAATTTTTGAAATTAAGTTAACTATCTTACTCAAGAATATGATAATTATTAAAATAATCTTACTTTGATGACTACAGCTTATAATAATAAACACATAGAATATTGTTATTAGTAGTTCTCATATTATGATAAAAATAGATATTTATAATAAATGTATGATATGTGAGGGTATTTATGATATAATATTATCTTGGTATTAGAAAAATAATCTAAACTCAAATATATTTTTGAAGTTCTGTATAAATTAAAAAACTATTAATTGAACAAGAATTATGAAGATGTCAGGCTAATAAAAGATTATTAAAATATAATTGAGATCAGCTTTTTGATAAATATTATAATAAATTCAAGAATTAGAAGGCAAGTTATATCAAGTAAAAAAATAAACAATGCAATTCACAACAATTAATTTTAAATTTACAAGTCCAAATTTTATTACTATAGAATAATCCACTGAATATAGCAAAAGCTAAATATTTACCAATATTAAAATTAATACAACTGGCTTTTGTAAGTTTTTTACCTTATATTGATCAAAAACCTTCTGATGATTATTTTTATAAGGTTATACAATTATAGGTATTTGCTGAGGGGCATATAATAGTTCTTTAAAATGCAAATATAGGAGATTTTGATAATATAGTTAAGTGCACTATTATAAAATCTAAGATAGCTAAAAAATATGCTCCAGTATCAACTAATAATCTATAGTATATATTGTTAGTAATCCTCTCATTAATATTCTAGCATCTTTAATGGCATGAACAAGAACAAAATATCAATGAGAAATAGTTGAAAACAAATAATTTGCAGTTCAAAGATTAACTCAAGAAAGATTTCAACCTTTTGATATTCTATATATCTACAAAACTAGAATTTGACCTCTTTTATTAGATGTACTCAATAATAATGCTCAAGTCTTGAGATTTCTTAAAAGTTAATTACTAGGTGAGCTTTTTACTTAATTAGGTCCAATGCTCCAATAGATATTGACAAATTTTTTATTGTATTAAAAAATATGTGGTTAGAATATACTCCAAACCTGTATGGAGAATCAAATTTTGATCAAGTCTCAGTTATTAGGCCAGAGGCTAACTTTTTAGCTAATATATTACCTACAATTTCTCAGCCAGAAACCAGCTTACACTAATTATAAAATCAATCTATAATATCAGTACAATCTCAACAAAAATGATCTAATTTCAATAATTATCCTAGAATATCAGATAAATATATGTCAAAAAGACCTTCATATGGGTATAGTGTAAATTCTGAAAGATTTATTCATGCTGATATCATAAATTCAATTCCTTCTACCAATCTAATTATAGAATCTTTGACTAATGATTTTTATAAAAAATTGTTTGATATGTTTTCAGTGAAACCAGTGCAATTAAAGAATAAAGTTATTAGTACTGATGATATAAATGAAATTACTAAAGGTATATCAAAATTATCATTAAATTTAGCAAAAATTGCAAAAGAGATTAATGCTATTAAGAAATCATCTCAATATTATGTTCAAATTGTAATAGAATTGAATATAATTCTTGCAAGTGTACCCATAAGAAAAGGTCCAAGAGCAGATTCAAAAAGAGAGACAGTATAAATAAGGTTGCTATAGATTTGAGTTAAGATACAAAATTTTCCAATAATGATTTTTTAAATAATAACTCCAATTCTGGGGATTCCTCATCTGAAGTTAAATTCAATCATAGTTTTAATATATACATCTCTAAAACAAAAAAAAACAAGTAAAGTAGAAGGATAAATCAGATAAATTATTATCCAAAAAGTCTGATTCAAAGAACAGACAGAGTCTCGAATCTCCGATTCAACATTATTTACAAAAAATACAAAAGAATTCAAGTACTATTGTTGATAAACAGATCTGAAAAATCATTCTAGAAATGTTTTATGATCCAAAAATAATAGAAATGATTAAAAACAATATCTTTAGTTTTACTAAAAATTCTACAAATAATATAATTCCGCCTATTACAAATTCAGAATT